TCCAACACTTTCTGGACGGTCTGAAAAATATGGTATGTTATTCGATTAAATCATACATTTCCACCCTAGGCATTCGAGTTATGTGGAGATTTCTTTTTTAATTTATTCCCTCTTCCGCAAATCGATTATTGCATACAAATGCTGGCGTGTTAATTATGAGGTGAACGTTTCATTTCTCATACTTAAATTGAAAAAAACCTGCGGTTTTGCTGGTATGAACACTTAAATATGTAACGAATTTTTCGAGTGATAGCCGCTGATATAATAAGAAAGCGTGGCGATTGTTCTTCGACGCTTTTTGACTGTTTAATTTCATAATTTTTCCCGGCACTTTGAGGCGAACTGTGGCAAATTGCACTTTTATTCCAAAAATCGCGTTACATACCCCAAGAGCTGAGACATTTTTAAATGCAAACGGTCGGAGTAAGCAGCCATCCCTTTCCGTGATATGCACCATAAATGCTACCAAATGCCAGAATTCTGTCAAAAGATTACAGGTGTCAATGTCGTATAAACGAAGTACGTAAAGACTGTGTTAAATTTTGTTCAACTTCTTGAATAAGATAATTATGTATTGAGTAGTACTATACAGTAAATTGGATAAAAAAAAATTTAACAAAAATTTCCACACACTTTATAGGTCCAGTACATGCGCGTATGAAACCTAACCTCATTTATTTGTTATACATTTTATTGTGTTTGTTTGGCTTAAATAGTTCATAGTAGACTTTCTTTTTGGATTGGCTCTTAGGTAAGTTAAAAGTGATTAAAAACTCAAAATTCGTTTGTTCTGATTTTTAACATTCAGATATTGATAGTTACAAAATTGAATTTGTAGTTCACTGAGAAGCAGGATGTTAATGCTCAGAATCGTACAATAAATTGTGGAAATGTAAAACATGCATTTTTCGATACAACACAATATATTATTCAAGATATGGTCCATAAAATTGAACCAAATTTTGTACAAGAAACGCCTGCAACCTGTCATATTGGAAATGAACTATAATGATCCTCAACAATTGCAAAATGTGCTAAATGTTTAGATGGATAACCTAAAGTGTGATATCCGATTTCTTCTGGGAACGAAAATGTTTTTGATTGATCTTTACTGCCGAAACCATCATTTTTATTTATAGGATACCCATAAAATTTAATCGTAAAAGTACAATTATAAATACATGATCAAGTAAAGCGACTTAGATCAAGCATTAGTATAAATACAAAAATTACTAAATACGGAAAATGTATATTCAAAAATGTTCTCTCTTAACTGTAGTCTTCAGAAATGTTGCCTATGTGCAAGAGCCCCGTCTTGTTGAAATCAACAGCTATTACCTGTGCCATAGGTAAATTATCCAAGCAGTCTTATAGATCATGTTGCAAAAATTGAAGGTATCGTTCTGCAGTTAATGAGTTGTAAATAAATGGACCTAATATTTTTCACACCTCATAAATCCAAAACTTTCTTGATATCTGGATACTTTTTTAGCCCGCAGATTTTCTTGAGTCCAGTAGATACCATTATTAGTGACCATACTCTCGTCGGAAAATATTATTTTTCAAGGGAAATTAAAATCTTCACACGTCCTTGTGTAACACTCGCAAAAATGCTGGCGCCGTTCACTATATACCCTGCTCTAAGTCCTTGGCAAATCCTGAATTTATAGGAGTGATATATATTTTTACACAAAATAAATTGGGCTGTGGATTTGGCTACTATTGTTTGTCAATTTGTTAGTTGGTATCTCAGAGTTCGCAGCAAATGCTTGTAAAACTCTATTCCTCTAACAATTCCTGTTTTCGAAACGTCACAGGCTCTTTGAATGAACCATATTCATTTAAATTTAGAGCCGGCTCTATGAAAATGGACTAACTTCTACATTCTTTAGGGAAATTTATCAAGATACATTTCCGCAGTATTTTTAGTATGTTTGTAGCACAAATTGTAGCACGTCAGCATGTTGAACTTTTCTTCATTGCTAAAATGACCCGACTGGAATCTTTGACGGTAATAAAGCAATATTAACAACACACAATAATAACAATTCTTGGTGACAAGTATTTACGTCAAGTCAAGAATTTGTTTACAACGCCTACTTAAAAAATCAGAAAAAAACGCATGTTTCCTTATAACCAAGAACATAAATGTAACATGTGATAAACCACCATCATGTAGTGACTAAAAACTGAAATGAAATGTACCATTAGTTTTTTGATATTGCTTAAAATAGTCAGAACGAAATGAAAACGGTTTGGCCAAATTTTAGTTTTTCCAAAATACCTAGATACGCCAAGAAATGTTTTCATGTTTCTCAACGGCATGTTAATACGCCCCAAAGAACGCAGCTTTTTCCTAATTTAACCTAAGCTGTATGTCCCTTAGATCTTGAGATCTCTGTGCATAGGACCTTTATTTTGGACACCCTGTATAAACATCATTTTAAATATATCGTCGCACCAAGTCGGTTTGTAGAGCCGTGTGTGCGCCTGTTGACATTGTAAAAGTGGGACTGAATAAAAGAAGACCATTACTACACTAAAAATAAAAATAACCGAGTATTAAGGACGAAACCCGCATATTTTCGTCTCCAACAGGCAGGTGGTAGAATCGGTACCAGTACAGAGATGGAAAAATAGTACCCTGTCGACAGTATTTCAAACGTTTTATTGTTTGGTAATTCCAGTTTGCTGGAATAATTGTAATGCAGATGTACAACTGCCGAAAGAACCTTGAAGATCATCAAAAAAACTTTAGCAGATGTCATTTCAGGAAATTGTGGCACTGGAACTCCCACGTGCTTAGATAACCAATTTTTTACACAAGCTCATTAGTTCTAGATTTGTTTGTCTTCGTCTTGATACCAGATTTCGAAAAATTCAAGTCACTTGGACGTTCACTTATTTATTGTACATTCGTACTGTTTACTCACTGAAATGAATAATTTTACAGCAATCTTAGATAACCAATTTTTTAAAAACAGCTCATTACTTCTATATTTGTTTGTCTTGGTCTTGATACCAGATTTCGAAAAATTCAAGTCACTTGGACGTTCACTTATTGTACAATCCAACTGTTTACTCACAGAAATGCCTTTCATACTACTTCTGTGAGAATCTGTTTTGCTGTTGCAATTGCATGTATAATTTTACAGCAATATTTTATTATATCGTACTGTTGCGAACATTTCTTATTATATTTTATACTTGTTATACATCTGAATGATTTATTTAAAACCCTGGTGCATACAGACTCTAAAAAAATAGAATTGAGAAATATCCCACGCATCATAAAACCAAGAATTCAAAAAGATTGACCCAAGCTTAGAAGAGGTGGTAGATGTGATTGATTCTCTCATGAACCGTAGCAGTTTACGTCAGATGCGCAAGCTATATCTCCAGTTCGGATATTCAAAATCTCTGAAAGCATATGACACTAGATTGATGTTTGTCATTGCAGTACAAAGTTATATTCAATCGCGTAACGACCACGGTTCACGCGATAATCAAAGACCACCAATAGCTATGTCCCCAAATTTTATCAAAATCGGTAAGAAGACAACGTTGTGACAAATCTTCGTAAAACAGACCACTGATTTTTGTGATGTATATGTTATGAAACGTGTAAACATCGATTTTATAAGCATGCAATTTCATTTATTCTAAATAAACACAATAAAAAAAGTTAAACAATATTGTAATTCGATAAACAAATCATATTCATTTTTTCCGATTCCCATTTTGGAAAGAATGGTCATTTGAATTAGCTGAAAGGTGATGTTCTACTAGAACAAAGAAATAATTCAGATTAGTTTGACCTGAATTGTAGTCAAAGATAACAGAAGTGACGTTTCTACTTGTTCATTGTATGTTACTGCCAATATGAATTCAATTTGAAAACGAATTAAAAACAGACGTTGTTCTATTGCAACGGCAAGCGTCACAAAATGGAAATTCTATTATGAACGAAGACATTTACATAAACTTTAACGTTCATGTATCGCTAATTATGCCCTAAAGTTAAAATGGACACTTAAGTTGAATACAATTGGAGTACAACAAATACAAAGTTTATTACTTTATTACTTCTTTAAAATTTACATGATAATTTATACGAAACTCGCAATTTTCCGATAGGTATAATATTATTTCAGTTTTCGTAACAAACGAATTTACAGAAATGTTGAAAAACTGATCAGGTATCTCAAAATGACATTAAGGGCCGTATCGGCAGTCGTTCCTACAATAGGACGCCTTTATGGTCTCCTTGATTTTCATAGTATGTTCTCTCCTTCAGAAACGCTGGGGTATTTCTAGATTTCTACTGTTCCGTGTCAGCGTCAGCCCTCTCCTATTGTGAGGCTATGTTTTCTTTTTGAATGGTAGGACATTTCAGGCTTATAGACGATATAAATCAAAAGCATGAACAATTTTATGGTAATATTCCTCGATTTGTAACATAATCTCAAAATAGAGCGCTGAGACGCAACAACAGAAAACTATGAAAATCAAGTCATACATATAGGCGTCCTATAGTTGTATGAACGATTGACGATACGGCCCTAAAACGTTACCCTAAGATTTAAAAGAAAATCAACAGTCTTGTTTTTAAAATATTTGACTCGAAACGTGATCAACCACCTTAGATCTACCAAGTTTTCCTCATACTGATTTATTTTATATAAGGGAAAAAATATATAAATGAAAAACTGACAATATGAAACATTAAGATTTACACACAAAAGAGCTGTCTTTCTATAAGGAGTAATCAGATTAATCATTAAAAAGATTCCTAATACTTGATGCTTACCCACAACACAACGTTTATAAATAGTATTTTTGATTAGTCAAAGGATTGTAGACTCACAATGCTTTAAGGTCTCGAAGAATGTACTCGAATCTAAAAAATGTTTTTTTTTCTTGGGCGTGATTTATGTATACTAATGTTTAGTTTTCCAAATAAAAAATTAAAATCTTTGTAAAATAAAACAAATGCTTACCGGCCAAGTAAATGGAAACGGGAAAGCGATGGAGTTGTCGAATCCGTTTTGTGGGGTGTCAGTAGCTGGATTTGGTCCTAATACGGACGTGATGACATCTCCAAAGGTACAGGGTGAGGTAGTGTCAATCTTCACTTGGTACTCTTTCAAGCACACTCTGAATCTTGGCCTACAGATGCCCTCACACTCGCTGTCGGCACTCATAGGACCAGAACAACACTTGCCGAGATCAGTCTTTCCTCCTTCGTTGTCAAACGATATCAGCCTCAATTCGAACACTCCAGATGAGTTTGCCTAGGAAATAACAGGAGTGTATACAATATTGAACAAAAGTACGCACAATTAATGGGTCATGCAAACGGTACTTCGGATTTTGGAGACCTGATCCTGTCAGCTTCTCAATTTTTCATTGATTAAAGGTTGTTATTCGAAAGCTGTATAAATTTGATAATAAAGAAAGACAAACTATTGTCTATCGAAACTGTGCTTGCTTCCAGTTCAAAAGGTAGGGATTGTGAAAGAATGCTCTATTTTCTATCTTTTAAATTAGGCTTGAGCAACAATACGTCTGTCTCAAGGGTAACATGGCCAAATTAATGCTAGCAACAATACACTTTTCCGTCGCCTACAGTTTTTTTTCTTGAGGTGTCAGGGAAAATTATGCCAAAAAACTTCTGACTGGATTTAAATGTATTTACTGCAAGTAGATAAACAACCTCAGTTTAACGCCATTCTACATTATCAAAATTTGATATCAAACATTTCTGAAAATTTAACAAGATCTCCAGAATCTTATTCAAAGTATCATATTTACTGTAATCAGAATGCTTTTATTGTGAAATTGCTGTCATATTTTGAAAATGTAGCAGAAACAGGTAACAAATATAAATCAAAAACCTAAAATAATCATTCTCACACATCTAAATGTACCTGATGTATCTACTTGATTTTGGTCTTATACAGTACATGCTCCAGCCTCCTACATATTTTTAAATTGAAGCAGGCATGGTTGAGGATTTGGTTATTTTAAGAATATAATTTCAAGTGCCACAGGATACAGATTCTACAGAGGGTGTTACAAAAGTACTCAGATGTTTCTCAAGGTAGAAATAAGTTATCTTATAATTCATTGAATCCTCATTTACCCCGCGTCAAAGCAAACATTAGCGTTCGATCGTCGCTTATTTTTGCTTGTCGCTCCTCTACCCAAGCATTTATGGCTTGCTGGCAGATATGAGCGCGCGAATCTGAACGTCACCCGTTTTTTTTTTTTAACGGTAAGTAAATGACATTTGAATACCCTTGAATGTATTCATTTTTTCTTCGTGAATCTCCTGTTTGCATAATTTTATACATTATTTTAAAACAAGTATATAATCATTAAAACTATCTGTTTAATCCAACCTGTCATGCAGTTTCATCAAAATACTCGTATTTGGCTGCAACAAATTAGTTTAAGGTAAAAAGTGTAGGTGATATACTACTCGAATCCAAAATATAATATCACAAACAAGGTTTCGGAGATAATATAATAATCCCTTGGTGGCTAGGTTATAAAAATGCACAGCTGCAAGTTGTTACCCCTTTTCATATTCAACAGACAAGACTGGGAAAGGAGTCATACAACGTTGCCACATCCATCAAATAATAAGAGTTTAAGACAATCAGTTAATGGTGTTTAGTAAATTGATTTCTAAAAGTATATGAAGTGTAGAATGTATAGGCCACAAACAAATCATAAAATATCATCAAGGGTAAGCTTATTCTTAATTTAATGAGAAGAATATATCTTTATTTAACTTAAAAGGATTATACAATTGTCTGCTGTCCAAATATGGAACAGGTAAAAAATCGCACATAAATTTGAAAACTTACGTGAAACAATGGAAACCTCACTTCAAAGTACCGCCATATCCAATAATAGACAATTTGTTACTGACACCAGTTCACAGTATTTAGATTTACATGAAAGTAGAAAGCATTAAGCTTTAAGAAATTTGTTTTTTTCTGAATGACCTAATTATTAATTATTGCCAATTCAATGAGTGGGAATATTTATAAATAGTTAGGAAAGGTATTCCAATTTTATGTATTTATAGCAAAATTGCCTATTCCAGGTAGACAGCTTTATAGGTACTAAAATACCCAGGGAAATACCTAAGCATTTAATACCTTGCAACCCTGCATTCCTAAAACCTAAAACCCAATATGATTTTATATTTACAGATTCTGAATAATAAACATGCATGGGACCAGAGCCCAGTACTTTCTTAGTATCTTCTCGAATCTGTACATTCAAAATAATAACCAAGGCTTAACCAGCAGTGAAACAACAAAAACTGTAGAGACAAAATAAAACAATATAAAGCAAAAATTGCAGATAGATGTGAAAATGATATTAATTTATAAGGAGCAACAGTCTTCAAAACATAAGGACATCCCCCAAATAATGAACCAAACAAAAAATTTGAATGGACTCCATATATACGCAAAATCACAGGTTCAATCTTATTTTTTCGTTCCTACTGTATCACTGATCACAGAAAAAAATGTGGAAAAGATTGTATAGCAATCTCACATTCAAGGCCGGCATTCGTGAAAACAAAAAAATGTTTATCCGTTACCACAAAGTTTGGTTAGGTCAAAAGATCTAAGGAAAACTGTGTTGATATAAATAACACCCGTATAGACCGGCACATTTCAAAAACATTTGAAAGATTACAAAAACAAAAAAGATAATGACAACGGTACGCGTCTGTGCACTTTCAAGGCATAAACACAAAAAAGAAACCGACGCCGGGTTAAACCGAGGAACTTTTATTTTTGAATGAAGCTCGCGAGACACTGGCCAAATAAAACTTTCATTGTCTCGTGTTTAAATAGCGGCACACTCAAAAATAAGATATTTCACAATGTTGTAATATGTTAGTAACTAAAACAATGTATTGTTTTGATGTGACCGGCTGCTTACCTGGTGAAAGGCGAAGATGAGCCACAGGAAGGAAAGGAATATCCGAGAATACATGATGACAAGGTATTTTACAACTTTTCTCCAACAAAACGAACTAGGTGAGCTGCCAGGAGCTGTTACCTATAAGAGCAACTCCGCGCCATAGGATATCGAAACACTGGAGGCACTTTTGATTGAATACATTCGTTCGAAAAGTATCGCACTGCAGAAACCGCGCGAAACACTGATCCGTTTAAAAAAGTTTTTCTAAACACTGCATAGTGACCGTTCGAATATTCCTGTAAGGGCAGATGGTTACTATCCCACGGATTCGCGAAGTGTAAGGCACAGGTATATCCAAAAACGTTAAATGTTACGCCAAGTCGTTAGCAGCGCGCTGACTCCACACGAACGAGAAAATATAGACTGGCCAGCCGCAGCAGAACTGAGCTTAAACTTGGCGATCTCGCTTGGTCGGAACTCAACCGTGTGGTACGGTAGCGTCACTCCTGTGGAGGGGAGCGCCCTAAGGGGTATGAATGTGTGTATAGATGATATGTGCCTTGGTGGCACAACGCTTTCTTACCGGTGCTTCCGCTAAGAAAAGTCACTTCTACAATTTTCTGATTTTGATGTAACTACAAGCTATCTTCGAAATATGTCATATTTGCAAAATACCTCACTATTTTTTTAACACAGGCTTGTTTTTTGGTAGACTGTTGACATCAATTTAATTTTGTTGGTTTTCCCGCTAAAATTATAAACAAGAACATTAAATGAAACTCAATCTAAATCCTAGCATAGTACCTAGATGCAGATACTGGTTTAATAGTCCGGGTATAAAACTACTTCTGGAAGGAGTTTGATTCAATATTCAACAGAAAAAAAAATCATAGCAAAACACCGGGATTGCCAGGTTGTGCAATAAGCAGCAAGTGGAATATGGAAAATTTAAAATCTTTTACTACTTCATTTTAATAATACGCATGTTTCTGTTCCTCATGTCAGATAATAATAATAATATTTATATTTGTTGTTCAATTGCTACTGCAATTTATACATACACGTGCAGTGAAAACCATATTCCATTGACGTCGCAATGTGTATGAGAGAGAATTGCGATAAGCGTGGAATACGTGTGTTAGACGGAGATTGAAGCACCTGGTTAAACAGCAGCCCGAGTGACGGGCTTCTCTCTCGTACACATCACGACGTCAGCAAAATTTGAAACTTGCCGTATAGAGTGAGCCAAAGTTCAGGAGCCTCAGGAATATTCAAAAACCAAGCTTGGGCAGTTTTATTGTGTTCAGGGGAGTGAAGATTCTCGGACGAGGATCTATTATATATATATACAATACAGAATTATCAAATGTGCTAATTTCAAGTCCTAATAAAATGAAATGTGGTAATATATCATACTTAGTAGTGAGAAAAACTCTGCATATACCTCTGCGGAGAATGCCATGATATGCCTCGATGCTATACTCCTCAGTGCTGGGACAATTGCATATTTCTCCAGCAAGGTATGTGTGTATTATCGAAAATGGTGCATCTGCACGAACAAATCCAAGAGATAGTTTAAGTACAAACGGTCCAGCTTTAGAGGTAGTGATACCAACATTTGCAAAAATCAGTAACGTCTGTTTTCCTTTGCTAAACATAAAAACTTGCCACGTAGCTAAGGCAAGTATGTTTTAAAAAATAATTTTATACATATCAATGTGAAACTTGGTAGTACTTCAGGCTATACCAAAACTCATCTCAATATCTCAATCTGTTTTCGAGAAATGTAATGTGAGCTATAAAGACGGACGTTTCGATAATTATAAACGCAGAATTTCCGGATCTACATATTTAAAAAAAATCCTCATATTTTAACGTCTTCTAATTTTCCTGATAACGTTTGGTAACATTAGGATGTTTTTTTTTACACTGAATTATTTGAGCTCAAAGCTACTCGAAAATGGATGGTAGGTTTAAAAAATGTGAAAAGTACGAAGATGCTGTGCTATTTATTTGATTGTAGTGGAAATTTAGATTTACAAAAGAAAGGAGTTGGCTTGCTAGCCTTATCGTCGGTGCGACCCAAATTCATCTATTCTGATTCCCATATACACTATCTAAAGCACTGTATTCTATCTTGATCCTTTAGTCAGACTCCATAGCCGTGACTCAGTGCCTTTCATGTAGCTTTTCACTGTTGAATCTTACTATCTAAAACCGCAGCCTTTCCAGGCCTGCGTAGTGACACATGAAATGCACTGGGGCTTCTTCCTGCTCTCTGCACAAATGGTATGTTGCCTCTTCTGCCAGGCACAAGAGCCTCAAATGTCGGTTTAAACGACAGTGTCCTTTCACGAGCCCCACTATGGCGCTCATGGCCTTCCTAGTAAGTCCGAGTAGGTCCTCTGTATATGCGGGCCTTCGTTCTTTAATGAGCCTGCTCTGAACCTAAAATTCGATTGACCGCCCCTTGTGGGGCTTGCTTATCAGCCTTTTGTGCCCTGGTACCTAGGGCAACGTTACCTTGATTCCGTTTCCCAGCTCTTTGAGAGTGTTCACGCAATCCCGTACTAGTTTAAACGATGTTTGCGATGAACTTAATGCCTTTATGGCTTCCTGGCTGTCTGAGCAGATCGTCGTCCGGACCGCAACAGGCGTAACTGATGTTATATAAATTTTCAGTAGAAGCAAAGTGAATATCGACAGTTATTTGATTTCATATATCTTTACTACTTTAGACAATATGAGCATAATTTCTTCCAATAACATAGCTAAAAAGTGTGTTCATCATCTTCTGAGAAGTATATAGAGGAAAGAAAATTCATATTCTCAGCTAAACATGTTTTTTATTTTTTTTTCCAGATACGCCTCTTTGCGGTAACCTTGACAATTACAATAGTCTAGCGATTTGAAGATACACCTTGGACTCCATATGGAATAAAATTAGATTAAATAAAAAACACTTTATTCTCAGATGTAAATAATACTCAAGCAGCTCAAGGATAATACAGAACAAAAATAAGAAGATGATTTCAAACAAAAACATTTATGGCTGGTCCTCATGAGGTAGTGAATCATAAAAAGTTGATATTCTGGTAGAGTGATGGCAGGCCTATCGCCTTGGCAAAGTGAGGTCAAATCATTATATTTTTTATTTGTGATTTTTCATAGGTCGCTATTCAGCGGAGACAGCTCTTTTTTTAAAATATCGGAAACATTTTTTTTCAAGGTTATGGACCTGTAGTCTGTTTGCTTATGGCTAGTCTTGAAATAGATTTTGTTGCAATTACCACTTGTCACTTTGAATTCCATCATATTTTTCCAATTCACATCCATGTCTTTATCATCTTTTCGAATCGATAATACTCTTAAGTCTGATGCGAGTTTTTTGAGGTCAAAAAAATTACGATAGTCTAAGGGACGAACCTTATATGGCTGTTTCTTCCTTGCTAATGCATAGACTGGCAATAACTGGCTCGGCACAATAATTTCACCTGCATTTTTAAAAGCGTAACTTATTGCACTATGTGCTGAATCGCCTTCATTTTGTCCATGACAAGAGGCAAAACATGTTAACGATATCTCTTTAACGTTTGAGCAATTACTGACGAGATATAAAAGTGTGGTATCCATTATCGAATTCTTATTTTGGCCACTACAACCATCAGCAAATAAGTCAACAGTATTGTAGCCTTGCTTGTCTTTTTCGGAAATAAATAGATAAACAGCAGTCGATATTTCCGAGCTACCACGTTTACTTTCAGTCTCACTCCATGTATAACAAAAACATTCTCGAGATGCTACTTCATACATAGTTAGATTGTAGACAGCAAGCCGTGTTTTATAAAATGCGGAACACTGATTAGAAATTGGTAAGTATATAACTTGTTGGAGATCAAATGTAGCACATATAGCCTTTGTATCATTTTTAGCTTTTTCTTTGCAGCTATTCTTTATTTCTCTTACCGTTTCCTTCTCTAAAATGTGGGCCAAGTACTCCTTTTCCAAATTAGCCTTCACTTCTTCCGATCCTTCTCTGTAACACTTGCAAAGACCACATTGATCTTTTTTTGGTTTGTGAAATGAGAGGTTCATGGATCTGAAAATTTTTCTATACAAAGAAAAACTTCCATTTGTTTGTTGGTCTTCCAGTTTGTACATGTGATACATTGTACTCAGAGATAAATCTTCATGTAGGTATTGTGTAGTTGAGGACTTCCGGCAGTAATGTGACTCTACTCTGGGGAACCTATTTATGTGCTCTATAATACTTTTTCTAATGACTATGTCTCTTGATGATTGTAACTCCCGTCGACCTCCACGATTTTTTTTCTAGCACACCCGTTGTTCTATTCAATTTCTTTATTGCGGTTCTGCAAACTTTCTCACCTATCCCAAGGGTCCCAAGGAACATTTTTTTACAAACTAATTGTCGGATACCTTCTAGAGGTAAGAAAAAATAATGTGTTTGCTTACGGCGTCGATCATTGCTATTTGTAGTTCTATGTTTTGGGTTTTCAGATAATACAAAACGTGCTATATACTCTCTTTGTTGTTGGAGGTCACCAAGACTATAAAGCTGTGAGAATATGTTCTTAAAGGACTGCTGAACAAATAACACATCCTTTTTCTTTTCTTACACATTTCTATATTGCAAATTCCCTTAAGTGCTTTCTCCTTCACAAGTTTCTTAGTTACAGGCGAAATATATGTTTCGCCTTGATACCTCAATGTTTTTGCAATTCTTCTTTTATCTTCTCTGACTTTTTTTTCCTTGGGAACCTTCTACAAAAAAATCTTCAGGGCGCCTCTCTTCCTGTTTCTCTTTGCTAAGTACACTGCTCTGTACTGCCCTGCGTCCGTCCTGGCAGGATGGGGTATCATCTTCAAAATGCTTCCAACAGCAAAATTGAGCATTGAAAGCAGGAACTGAACACATCTCCTTTACAGCTTTTAATTTCACAAGTTTGATGATAGTCCGGATCTTCTGGATTATAAATCTCGACTGCAGCAAAGGGATCGCTTTCAGATGAGGCGTGACTAAATTCGGACAAAACATCATATGTATATGTAAGTCAAAAGGACATATCTTAGTTACCACTGAGAGAGTAGCAAAAAATAAACACCGCATGTAGGCGTATCTTCATTTGCGCCTATCTGCGGTGTATTGTATTTCATTTCTGAGAGATACGACGTTTAGTTTTATGCTGATATCTCTATGAGCGAACTACTTAGAGTTACGCCACTTTGCGGGATTGAAGATATGCTATACCTTGTTGATTTGAATCCGTTAACTCGAATTTGATTTTTTGTCAGATACGCCTGTCTGCGGTATGGACGACGAGATGGCGATCGACTGATTTGTAGAGTAAGTCCCACACTTTTGAACAGGAGTATAATCGCAAAATAAAAATGAACCGGAATTGTCGAAGA